TAAGTCTTCATAGAATTGGTCAATATCAGCCTCTTCAGCATTGGTGGTGACTTTTTCAGATAAACATTGTAGATAATATTTATAGACATGTTTAAATATTTGTCTATGGAAACTACAGTCCATTCATCTGAAGATGTCACTCAACAAAAGTTTGTGCTGAATAAAATCTGTTAGCCTTTGAGGTAATTAATAGTGGAGAGTCCTTCTGATGCACAGAAAAAGGAGCAAGATTGATTCCTAAGGTTTGAAACAGATATTACATATACTTCCATGTGAGGAAGAGGAAATTCTTTAACAAATTAAAGTACAGGCTTCTTTCACCAGCTCTTGATCAAGGGATATACAATGACATTGGTGGTTTTTTGTTTTACATTCTCTCTTCATCTAAATAAGAATTTGAGATGGAAGCAAACATAACTTATCTACAAATGTCTTGCATTAAAAGGAAAAGATTCCTGAATAGCAATAAGCCTTTTCAATTTTAAAAAATTGGACAAAGCATGCATACAAAACTGCATCCCTACAAAAGTCCTATGTTTTGACATAGTAATTGCCACAAGCTTTGAGATCACACAGAAATGCTCATCTGATCACCCATCTTTCCTTTTGGAATACTCTGCTTATCTTTGATCCTCAAATTACTTCCCCCTCCCCATTAAAGATTAAGCAGAGCATTGGTAGTGAAAAAGGAGAAGAAGAAGAAGAAAAAAAAATACTTACTCCACATTCTTAGCCCATGGTGGTGGGTCACTCATGGCCATGAAGACACAGTTGGTTAAGATGGTTATCATTATAAACATGCTGAATAATTTGAAAACAAGGTCAAGGAAATGAAATAGGCCTCTCTCAAAATTCCCAAGACACATTTATTTGGTAAACCCATGAGAACAACAGGTCTATTGGATGATGACACCTTGGCAGGAATCTGAAGGATCAAGCAGCTCAATGAGCTTGGTCAGGCCCAAGGTGACTGGATTTATGTTTTCATCATGAGTGGTTGGTGCATAAACTTGGATTACT